TGCTTATCTCAAATCTGCGCGTGGGTTCCAACCCCAACGACAACCATTGGCAGTGAACTTCATAATCTTAATACTTATATGTGTGTGTGTGTATGTGTGTGAGGGAGGGTGGGTGGTTTGGTGTGTGTCTGTCCGTGTGTGTGAGGGTGGGTGGATGGGTGGGTGGGTGGGTGTGTGCAGGCGGGTGGCTGCGGCTGCGGCTGCCTGCGCCCGCCCAACCACTCCGATGCCTTTTGTCATCTTGCCCGACAAACAAAAAACACGATGAAAGACAAAAAAAAAAAGGCGAAACAGACAGGACCCGTTCCACGCACCGCGAAATACACGAAACCCGAGAGAACGCAAAAGAAAAAGAAATTCTGCACCACGCAAAACGACGAACGGAAAAGAAAACGAAAAACAACATCCGCGCCGGTCGCTTATTGATGGCGTCCGCTTCAAGATATTCCATCGCATCTACGCCCGCTGCCACCCGGCCCCGTGGGCGTGCACTCCCGTTTGCTGGCGCGCTCTGAACAACTCGGCATGCGCACCGCTCTTCACGCCCCACCGCCCTCAATCGCCTTCATCCGCCGGCCCGCACCAAAACTTCAGCCCGATTTCGGAGCGCAGCGGACCATTGACCTCCCCCCCGCGGTCAATGCTCCAAAGTACCCTCATATATTGAGATAAATGCCCTCCCCTGAAAGATGTGGATAGAGCGGAATGCCCTTTTTGCCCGAAATGTTTGTGTTGTGCCCCTGTCAGGTGGGTGTGCAACTTGTGCAATCTGGACCTTCATGTTTGGGCCCTGGCCTTTTGCAATAGTACAGAGGAGAAGTTGACAAGTACTGGGGCATCTTGCAAAGTTGGACTGTACCCGGTTGGGGTATATTGCAAAGATGGGGGTCCAACCGACGCCAGGAGTATTTCACAAAAAACATTTCTGTCAGAGGGGCATTCCGCTCTACCCACATCCTTTAGGGGCATTTTTGCATATATCTCAACTTCTAGGGGTATTTTGCAAATTATCCCTAATAATAATAATAATAATAACAATAAAACCACTCAAGCAGTTCTATTACCATTCGAACTCACAAAAAAAAAAAAAAAAAAAAAAAAAAAATCTCACATCTGTATTTTAACAGTTCATAGGTGTACCAACTGAGTTACCTTCTTTCCCCCAATACAACGTACGGTCATTATAGCTGTATTTGCCACATCTTTCAGTCTAGATACAGCTATAATTGACCGTTCTTTGTATTTGGGGGAAGAAGGTAGGCCCATTCGTGTGATGCCCCATCTCGCGCCTCTCTCCCTTTCTGGGGAAGAAAAAAAGGAAATTACTTGATGAACCAAGGGGATAGTTCCCCCCCCCCAAAAAAACAGAAAGAAAAAAAAGAGGCGAGGCCGGCGTCAAAAAAAAAAAAAGAAAAAAAAGATGAAATCAAACAACGTAAATCTGAGTTGCTTGGGGTCTTTCCAAGCAATTGCTTGGGGCGGGTAGGTTAGGCAAGGTTCTGGCTTGTACTGGCTGCTACCGTGTTCCCCGTGTAACAATAATCTATAATTAGTAGTAGTGGTAGCTAGGTAGTGTGAGGTGAATTATTTTTGATCTTATTTTATAAGCCCAACCAATTCAAATACTTGTCCAATCTGAACAGAACGCCAAAGAACGGTCATTATAGCTGTATCTAGACTGAAAGATTTTGACAACTGTCAGAACGTTTTCGACAACTGTCAGAACTTTCAGAGTGCATAGTCCCAATATCTATCAGAACAAGGTCAGAACTTTCTCGACAACTGTTGGCACTTGGGATATGTCGAAATGGCAAAGGTTTCTTTTTCTTTTTTTTTCTTTTTTAATGTCGAAACGGCAAAGTTTTCGACAACTGTCAAAACTTTCTCGACCTAGAGGCTCGCCACACAGGCTGTTGAAAACCGAGTTTTCGACAGTTTTGCATTGCCGCACATACTTTCGACGAATTCCGGTTCAGAATTTTTTCGACAGGTGTCAGATGTGTGCTTTCGACAGCCACTGTCTAAAACTCGTTTCCTCCGGCCTGCAGGTGACGGAATCCAACAGTGCCCCGCCGGGCTTTCGGAAATTGCGTTCGAATTTGGGTTGTCAGAGACTGCTCCCTGACACCGTGCCCTGTTTGTCCGTATGCAGTCAACAGTTGCTGTCGAAAACGGCGTCGACATCTGGTCCACTTGCGGGAAAAAATTCATCCATGTAACAACTCCCCCTTCGCCACACAGCACCTGTCGAAAGGCGGCGTCGACTTGCCAACTTTTGACAACCTCGCCCCCTCGACAGGCTGTGTGGCGATAGGGGGGAAAGTTGTCGACGGGACTGTCAAAAATTTACTGACATCCGTCAAAAATTATTGGCTTTCGACAGCCTGTGTGGCGAGCCTCCTAGGGTTTTTGATAAAACCCCCGCCTTCGCCACACAGCACATGTAGAAGATGAGCGGATGAACACTGACATCTCCAAGACACGCCAAATCTACCCTGACACATGTCGAAAACGGCACACCTTTCGCTACCCCAAAACTCTGGTGTTGAATCTTGGCCCTTGGCGGGCGGGCCGTTTCACACGAAACCCTATTACTGACAAATGTCGAAGTGGTTTCAACATTTTTTCTTTGACAGTCTGTGTGGCGAAGAAAAAGTGTCGAAAGCACTTGTTTCGGCTGAGACTGGAGTGCGGGTGCGGCAAAGGCGGCCTTTTGTGTTGAAACCGTGAATGTCAAAAATGGTCTGACAGCTGGTGAATATTTCACTGTTTCGACACTGGTGTGGCGAGGCACTGGCCACTCAGATGATGCTCGGTCCCTCTGTTACCGGCTGTCCCCTGGCCGGTGTCCCCCATTGGGGGTTCCCTGAAGGCAATAAGGCCACCCTGGGCTGAAAAGGCCCTTATTGTCATTATACTGGTGTGGTGAGGCCCTTATAGTGAATGTCCAAAATGGTCTGACAGCTGGCAAATATTTCATGGTTTCTACACTGGTACCTGCTACAGCAGGTGGGATATACCGGCCAGGTGTTAGCCGGTAGCATCAGGTCAGGACGGAGCTTGTGGGCTATTCCGGCCAGGTGTCAGCCGGTAACATCAGGACCGAGCTTGTGGGCGATACCGGCCAGGTGTCAGCGGGTAGCATCAGGACCGAGCTTCTTCGAAGGGTCGGAGGGCCAGTCACAAAGAAGTACATGAGGCCAATGGGGATTGAACCCAAGCCCTCCTGAATGCAACTTGCGTGCCTTACCAATCTGAGCTAGGCTGCTGAATGTGAGGTGAAATTGAGAGAAGTGAATTTTTTTATTTTATTTTTTTAATACTGGACTTTTATTCCAAACGGGGCCAGTGCCCAAGGCTTACAAACGATAACGTGAAAATAGCAGAGGGCACCTGGCCTCGGGTGCACTCCCCAGCCCGAGCCATCCCTCTGTAGAAAACCACGAAACAAAGAAGCTCCTCAACAAAATAATTCCTAATACTACATAGATGCCGTAAGATCTAAAAACACGAAACAAAAAGCATATCACCAAAACCTATAACAGGCACAACGACCAAAACCCCACAGCTAAAACCTTAAACGAAGAAGAACCAAAAACTAGCAAAACCGTATCGAAAACCAGCGTCGAGAGAATTGAAATCGATCGACGTGTCCTACATTGTAATGGAAGCGTCGTAGATACCAGTTTCCAGCAAGTGTTGCTCCCCACCAATAGATGGAGCTTTGTTTAAAAAAAAAAAGAAAAAAAAAGATACCAGTGTACATATTGCCATGTTGCCATGTGGTGAGTATATATATGCTCTAACTGGCCACCGGCGGGACTCTCGACTCTCCTGGGGCAAGGTCCCACTTGCAAGAATTAAGAGATAGTGACCGTAGATATCAAAGATCAACGGCCGAAATCTATCTCCTAATTCGCACAAGTTGGACTCTCGACTCCCCCGTTCCGGCAATCAGCGCTGAGCATCCCTAACCAAAGGGCATTGCCACACCACTCTCGAAATCTCGAAATGCCCAAAATGAGAATCGACACGATTAGAAGTCAGTCCACTGATTGATCAGACGGTCACACTGCACGGAATCGGGAGTCTCAGAAGAAGCGATGAGAGAAGATCGATGGACAACGCGGTGTCATTTTTCCATGTGTCGTCTACACATCTGGGAGTCCGACCCAATTGTCCACGTGGATTGTGACTTGTGATCCCAGTGTGAAAACGGCTTGTTTGCGTCTGGCAGGGTCGATTGTGATGGGATCTCGTCTGATGGTGAGACTGGTAGCCGGAGTACTGAGAGAGAGAGAGAGAGAGAGAGAGAGGCAATCGGGAGTCATCGGTTACAGTGAAAGAAGAAATATATCCCGTGCAGCACTGACAAGCAGTGAGAATGTGATGTAGAAGCGGCCAGTTAGCCCGTGGGGGAGGAGGGGGAAGATAGATCCACTCTCATCAAGCAGGAGCTAGATGGCCGAAACGGATAGTCACCTGCTGTGACTCGGTCGCACAGAGAGACCGAGACTGAAAGTCGCTCTAGAGGTGCTTCGCACGTAGTGTTTTTTATGATCAGTGAGAATAAATTTCTATCGCTACTTCCCTCTCGGGGTCGCCCTGCACGACGAACAGAGAGTCGCTCTGCAGATCCGAACGTATATGTGCCCAAAACTTTGCTCGCACACACACACACACACACACACACACAGAAAGAGAGAGAGAGAGAGAGAGAGAGAGAGAGAGAGAGAGAGAGAGAGAGAGAGAGAACGTGTCCTGGTA